ACAATACTTATCCAGTATAAGATCATAGGGTGTCTGGGTCTTATGGCAGGAAACATAAAGCAAGAGGACACTTTTACTGAAGGGGTGCTAGCCCATTGAAGGGCACATTCTCACACACATTCCCAGGAATAGGGGCAATTTAAAGATGCCGATTAGCCTAACCGCATGGTTTTGGACGGCAGGAGTTAAACAGAGACCCAAACAACATAAGGGGTGGAGTATGTACTCACAGAAAGAGGAGTAGGATCCAAATTTCCAATGGTAGAGGTTTGAGCCATCCCAAAAGATTGATGATGATGATGGCACTGCAACCTATTATTATGGCATAATACACAAAACCACTGTGATAATCACTGATTATCTCCAATGACTAATTGACATGTTAAAAAATAAATAAATCTTGTTTTGACATGTGACTTGAAATTGACTGTCATGCTTCATTAAATGATCTCGATGTTTATACATCCATTAGTATACAGTGAAATATGTAGCTTGAATGTATTCTGATCTAGAGGCAGATAGTCTACACAGAAGTCTCATGACAGTAAGAAAAAAAAAACAAGAATAAGAGATCTGACGCTTCTGACGCTTCTCTGAAACATTTTGTTTAATCGCTGCACTCCAAACCACTACTTTTTTGCAATTCCTTTGGGTCATGTAGGGGGGGGGACGGTGCATATTTAAAATATCTGGACAGAAAGAGAGGAATTGTACAATAAAGAGGTGGATTCTGAAGGCGCTTGAAATTTTGCTGGCGTTTTGCTGACGAAGAACAAAACGATTTTACGGGAATGCATTCAGTGAAAGGTCAGTCAATCAATCACGTATGATTTGGCCTCTTTGTTTCGACATGAAATACTACAGAATGCTTTTCAGGACAAGGAAGAAAATGAAAATGAAGTCCAGCAATACAGCCAATGACTTTCCAAAACAGGACAAATAGTGAAGAGAATCTTGAGTAACTGGATTCATCTCCACTTTCCACTTAACCTTAAGGTATTGTAGTGCCACGCTATTGGTCTTTAAACTGAAATGTACTTCATAGACATGCATTAGATATTTTTCATCATTGATAGTGTGACTCAGGTGAGTTGAGAGTCTGCTTCTGTCAATTACGAGTCTGTTAAGACTTACTTCAAATCCCCAGCCAGGCAGGTACAGTTACATATAAACCACTAAACTGTCAGCTTCAGTTTTTGCCTTCTCTTTCATCTCCAGGAGTGAGCAGCACAAATCACTGAGAGTGTCCATTATACCCACTTGTGGACCTGTGATCTCTAGCAAAGCCAAAGCTTTAGACCAACCACAGCTTGCTCTTGCTTTGTGGAACGTCACCTGATAGTCTTCATATACTGAAAATTTGCAGTTAAACTTTGGTCATGTCGCTGGTATTTTTGAAGGGGTTCTATTAAATGTCATAGATTGCCCGTCGCTGTAGGTTTCAGGCCGGATTTTATGCCATTTCATTAGTTGCAGTCAGGCTCGGTAAAGAAAACCTCCTGAACTGCACCTTAAAGAAAGACACGGGAACATTACATTCTACAAAAATAAATGAATATTATTTTAAATGCGGATTATACATCCAGTAGCTCTTGGGAGCCAAATATTTACTCTATAGGCTGTGCCCAGTTTACCAAGGAGATCCATTCATATTATTATTATTATTATTATTATTATTATTATTATTATTATTATTAAGTTGAAAAAAATAACTAATGGCATAGTTTATATTTGCAAATATTATGTAGTTTTACTACTACTACTTGCTTGCTCCTAAGTTATGGTTGGCGGCGGAGGGATATTCAACAGGATATGAGTGATACAGTGGTTACATGAATGTGCTTATTTCGTATCATCCAAGGTAAGCTGCGCACAGAGGCGTACTAATCCACGTGGCCGCAGAGGCATGAAGAACGCGCTTACCCTGTCTGAAGAGCGGAAATTATTAAAAGATCCCCAGAGTACTGGCTGCCTTGTTATTGTAAAGCATCCACATTGCTTCAGTCTGAGGCAGGGTGCTGCTGTCTTGTTTACCGGAGAATTTCAAGTTGAAGGGCTCCGTGATACATTTTGCTGGGATCGGTTACGTCACGGGAGGAGAAAGTCTGATTTAGCTTTGCGAAAAAAATCGGGCAAGCTGTAGAATAGCGGATTACAAGTTTCGTCTGCATTACAGATTGCGTGATTCTCCAAGTTGCGTGTCTCTTTGTGTGCGAGTGGGTGTTTCTTGAGTAGAGGAAAAGTCTTGGAAATCTGCTTAAGAAACTTCAAAATGGGGTGTTGATTTTGCAGAAGTTTTAAATATTTTTTCATCCACTTTCTCCATCACTAGCAAACAGCTCCTAGCAGGGAAGCGTTTGCATTTCAAAGTGGTAATAACCTTTTTTAAAAAATGTTTGTTGTCTTTATGCTGTAAATTTATAGGACCCTTTTGTTTCCTTTAAAATCAATAGCTTGTTACACTTAAAAGGGAACTAAATCAAATATCGGAACTAAATCATTTTAAGTGTATAAAGACTCATTTTATTTCCAGGTCACCGTCTTAAATCTAACACCACATGTTGCTAAAAGAAACATTTATAACCAGAATGAAACAGTACAATAATACGCCCCTTTGGTCAGAAATTGGCCCAGAGTGATATTTTATAGGCTCGTTTTCAAAGATATAGCTTTGCAGAAAATGGGCAAAGGTTTTTAAATAAGCACACAGGGATTTAAACAACTGAGGTCTACAAGCACTAGATTTAAACAACTAACCGCGTTCCAGACCTTTGCAGCAACAATCCTCCTGACATTTCACCGTAAATACTGAGCCGGTTGTGTTTCTCTGCTTCTCTTTATGTCGCCTGCTCTCCGTCTCTGAGGGTCATTCGTTTATATCGTAATTTTATTTCCCGTGTATCAGCATTCAGCACCACGAGTGTCTGTCCCTAACATCAGGTAACGAGAAGAAAAGGTGTTGACTAAATAGCTGCCTCTCTCATCTCGCCAAGCCGGATCACTGAATATGTATGACTGCCTTGTGAATTCCTAACAAGTCTCTCCATGGACATTTTAACAAAAAGAATAGAGATTATTCTCTAAAAGTGTAAACTGCACACAACCTAAATCACTCCGCAACGTTGTATCCAATCGAAAGCACATTATTGTATTCAACACGATGCACATGCATCTACAACGAGGCACAGGTGAATACTTGGGCCGTCAAATATTGGTGATGTTGAATCGACCATTAAAGGAGTCATAGTTCATAATGGTTTCATCAGGAATGCAGGGACTAAGGCAGGTGTTAAGCTGGTAGATAGATTATTCAATTACCAAACAAAATAGCCCAACCCTTTATAGGTATAGAGATCTGTCTGTCTGTAGATGTATAAAATACCTGTACAGCCAATATCTCTAATACCATAATTCCACCCCTGGCTAATACAGAAGGTGTGGTTTCTATCATTTATGGTGCAATGCAACATAGATCGAAATGTAGTGGGATGTACTGGATCGTCCATCTGCCAAACTGGGCCTTCCTGAATTACCCAAGTGATACCAAGTGAGCCAGACATCCGTCTCCCTCCTTTCTCTGCTGACACTATTAATTTAGTTCCGCCATTGCAGAAAGGCAGCTCTTTATCTGCTATGACGCTTCAGAATGACATGTTGATTTCAAGGAAAGGTAGGGAACGCATAGTGTCAGTTGAGTTCCTAGGCATAACAGACTGGGGGACAACCCCCCCCCCCCCACACACACACATTGGGGAAAAAGGGGGTGGTCTACCTGTAATCAGAAGGTTGTATGTTTGAATCCCAGGATCGGCAGAATTATTTCACTGTTGGGCATCTGGGCAAAGCCCCTACTCCCACCTTTTCCAGGCACTCTCTGACCCTTGCTGTCTCAATTGTATATTGATTTGCATAACGGTGTCTGCTAAACTAAATGAATAAAAATGTAAAAAGGGGGTCTTAATGCTGCGGTAAAGCACTTGGTAACTTCAATGAACCTCTGGCAATTGTGTGGATGTTGGGTTTAAAAGCAGATTGCGTTTGTGTTGGGTTTGGGAATTTTGAGCCAACTCTGTAAACTGTTCATTTTTCTTTCAATGGCTATGCAAATATAGTGTTATATTGTAGAGCTGGAGGGGTGCGCAAGTCCCACAAATAATTGTAAATAGTCCCTTGTATCTATTTGTTGTTGATAATAGTTGTATTTCCCTATTGTCGCACGTGTTTGTCCGTGTCTTGTGTGAACCCTGTACGATTCTTGTGTGTCTCTAGTGTTGTGTAAATTACCCACCATGTGTGTACCTGACGGTCCAGCGTCTGACTACCTTGTGTTTCCGCTGTTGTATCTGGGTTCAGTACCCGTTCAGTCCTTGTTATAGTCCTTGTAAGGACTGTAATAAAACAATGTGTTCTTCCCGGCAAGCAAATCTCCTGATCTTCTGCTGCTTTCGTGATGATTTGGTCTCCCTGGTGCTACAACATCAAAAGCAAACAGAACAAATAAAAATATTTAGATGTTGCAGCTCTCAAGTAGCGAAAACACTATCACGCTGTATTCGCAAATGTAACATAAATAAAAAAACAAAATGAATAGAACTTTTTTGAAAACCTCACTGCTGAGTTTTATTAAACCAAACCGGGGCTAAATTATTATCATGAATAAAATTGCACAATTGTTTTACTGCATTAATGATTTATGAAAGGAATCTTCCCTGAATGTAATTTGAACAGAAAAAAATTAGTCATAAAGTATTGGCTTTGGTGCGTTTTGAAAATGGCACTGTGGGCAATTTAAGAACGCCACGTGCAACAGCTGTCAAAAATCACATTTCTGGGATTCTGAATACTGATTAAATAGCAAGTCCCAAGGATGGGACATTTGGACAGTGCAGTATCTGAAATGCCATTAACAATGCAGGAGAAACTTTGGGAAAGACTAGTGCAGAACTCTCTGGCATCTTCTGTAGACCACCTCAGAGAGATTTTTTTTTTTTCCCCTCCAGAGATGGAACTGAATTGCAGGCTTTTTCTTCAGATGTTCGCATCTGAGGAGGGTCAGAATGCTGAGCGGCACTGATGGAAATGAGCGACTGCAAAGTGGTCGCCGGATAAAGGTAACATCCTGGGCAATCTCCGCTCCTCCGAGTTCTCCGGCGACTCCCCCCAGCGCGTGCCCCCGCCCTGGCTCGTCCAGCTGAAGCACTTTACTGAAATGCAGGAAATAGGCAGGGTTAATACAATGGGAACTGCTCTGAATTTTGAAACATCTCAAGATGGTTACAAAGCACAACCTTAAAAAGGATTTGATCTGGTTGCTGCAGAAATACGCATATAAAATCCCTTTCCACTTTTGCTGCGTTTATTACTTATTTAAGAGTTAAAACCAAAGATGATGCAATGTGGAATCCAGTGTCCGTACCGACATCGATTCTGTCCCCGGCTTGGCTTGATAAACACAAACCTCACGCCGGGAAGTACAAGGTGTTTGTGGCTTATAAACAGGATGAGGTGGGTGTTGCACGTAAAGATTAAATCACATATAGCGGCAGGGGGGAGGATTTACAGAAACCGTAAAGATGGTGTTAACCTTTAAACGGAGAATTGTGGGCCAGGCCTTCAGCGTAGAGGGAAGTGACCCCCCAAACTCCTGGTCAAAATAAAATTCGTATTCCCACAATTTAGGGCCCTAACGGTTTTACTGCTGATATATGTGGGGACTGGTGTCGGTGTGGTGACCTAAGCCTAACTCTCAGCTGCTACGAGATGTCGGCTAGCTAAGCTACTGTATGACGGAGGTCACCGGCCGAAGCGGGTAGGTAAACATGCACAATGCTTAATATTTGCATTTAAAGTGCCAAGTGGAATGTTCAGTCTAAAGACTTGGGCATTAGCACTGGAAGTAGGGATGCTGAGGGTCCTTCAGCGCCCCCTCTGGTTGTCAGTGGTAATGCAGTGTCAAAATACTGTAGGGCAGGATGCACATGCCAATAGTTTAAAGCAAAAAATGAAAAGCCAGCCATATGTTTGCGAAGCTGTTGTTGATAGCTACTGATGATACAAAAGAACTTCAGTTTATTGGTCATTCTGACCTTCAGCGCCCTGAGCTCAGAACGTCTTCCTGCGCTTATGGTTACAGGGACATGAAGGCTAGCGTTCGCTATGTTAGCATGCACGCTAACAGATCTGTGCTCCACTTCTTCCCGGCACCGGGAAACTCAAAAGGCGGCCAACTGTCTCCGGAGCCCCACGTGGGTGTCTGAAGATGTTTATGTAAGTTATGTTCTAAATATCGTGGGCTGTCAGTGGCAGTGAATGCGCCCCCCCTCCACCCCCCCCCCATAGTGCTTCTAAATGGACGCCGTTTCAGAAGGCTCACCCCGTCCACCCAAATGCTTCCTCTACACACATTTCATGGGGGGAGCAGCTCAGGATCCTCAGCTCATGAAATATTTGCCAGCCACGTTTGCTTCTTCTGTTCCTGTGAATATCTGAACATAAGCAGGGTGTATGAGAACCCCCCCATAACTAAACCTTTGATAGTGCCTCATTGTCACAATTGTTTCTGTTGCATTGCCAGTCAAAATTAATGCCTTGAACTAATACTACTAATGATGAAACAAAGAGTCAAAAAACAAGGCATTGAAATATGAATAGCCCTGAATAGAACTGAGTGTTTGTGTATACCCTCCCNCCCCCCACGAAAACACTCCTTTCTGCACCACGGCATCCAGGCTCATTCAAAGGCTCTACGTAGAATGCGGATGCTGTTAGAAAAAGAGCGACGAAAACGACTGCGGTAGCATTTCTTAGGAGTGCTTTGCGATGCATATTTCATCGAGAAGTTAATATGGTGGCTTTTGGTTCCGGACCGACTCCGAAAGCCAAAGCCACAGACTCTTACATTCTTTTCCCAGCACAAATATGTCTCTGTTATTTCTATTGGCTAATTTCGGCCGTCTCTGTAGCGTTCGCCTTCTGCTTGTTCCAAAGGTAACACAATTAACGATGAGCTAAGTGGTGCAGCATCTCCTGAGGGATTCCCAGTCATTCCCAGGTCAGCTGGGAGGTATAATCCCTCTTCCCCACGTCGTCTAAGCTGGCATAAGCTTTCCTACCTTGGGGGGGTACGTTTAAACTCCAAAGTAAACATACCAACATGATAAATTTTCTCCCACCCTCTGCAAGAGCAATAGCATTATCTGAGGCTGTTAACCTGATCTTGACCTGTTCATTATTTATAATATTGTAGCTTTGCATTGATTTCATGTCAAGCAACATATGCAAAGTACCATTTTATACTGAACATGCCTATCGATACTGAAACCCAAGATGTAATACTAAAGTTTAATACCTGCTTACTGCCATTAAATACCGTAAGACCTGAACCTTGTAGTTGTTTACAGGCATATACTGTATGTCTATGTTGCATGCTGTTCAAACCCAATTCACCCCAAAACTGAGCTGCTGCAAAAATACACACATTTCTCCCGTTGTATTAGCTGGCGAAGCGGCCCAGATGGGTTCACACGCTTCCACAAAAGCGCGCTACCATGGAGAACATCTCGCCAGAGAGAACTGTGACCCCCGTATTTGGAAACACGGCATGTCGACTCTCATTCCCAGCTGCTGTTCACTTGGCAGCGATTCGGGCTGAACGCCGACTTGGGTGGGTGGGGGCTGACGGCTCACAATGGGATGAGGCGTGATGCACGACAACATCTGCAAACAACAGCGGAAACCCCCCCCCCGAGCCTTGGAACAAACCGGCAAAAGTACCAGCACTTTGGAGACGGCGGAGGAGACAGACCCACGGCGGAGGAGACAGACCCACGGCGGAGGAGACAGACCCACGGCGGAGGAGACAGACCCACGGC